TAGATGGGGTCTGCTCCCTGTAGATCCCAGTTTTTGCAGGCGGTGCGAGCAACAACGGTTGCCCAGCTAACCGGGCTTCCATGATCACTACTGCAACGATGTTCACATGGTATTCGTGGGGCTCGATGTATTCGAATCTTGTTTCCCCTTTACTGCAATTTGTTGTTTTTTCTGGAGCACTTTCAGAGAAACCCTGCAAAGTGCCATTATATGTCCATTAGCCGGCGGCATAGTTCAAGAGTGTACCACATTTTGGACACTCCATTACTGGCATCCGCATGCGAACGGGATCTCGGGGTGTCGTTTCCATGTCGTTAAAAACCAGGGACACAGACAAAGCCTGCGCCTTGAGTTGGAAAATCCTTGGAGCCATTCGCCGTTTCTTTTCCAAACTATCATACGACGATTTTAGGGCCCTGTACTCCACCCATGTCATACCTCGCTTGAATTTCGCGAGCGCCGCGGTATATCCGTGTACAACTGCCGAAATTGTGAGGTTGGAGAAGGTCCAATGAGCCGCCACCCGCATGATTGCCGGGTTACGTGGGTGTTGCTACANTGCTACACTGAACTATTGCAATCCACTGGATGGTTTCCAGAGTCATATCGCCGAGTACGGGGTGACATCATATGTGTACGACATTCTACGTGATTACATGAACCCAGAGCTAATGGAGTACTTCCCTCTACGCGAGCAGAGGAGGACTCGTGGACATAGACTTACGTTGCCGAAGCTTCCGTCAATAGGATTACCTCCTAGGTACCGAATATCGCGCAGGGTAACCAACCTATAGAACTCCCAGCCGATTTGGTGGACGAGGTAAATGATAATATGTTCAAGAAGAAGCTCGACAGCGTCCTTCGCGAAATGTGGAATGCAGATCAGTCCTGAATGCATTATTCGAGTCTGTGGTGATGATACGGGAAGTCTCCCACTGCCTCTAATTGAAGAACATTGAACATTGAAAGTCTAAGTATTTCACGGGTTCGAGCCTAAGCCCAATGGTCCCGGATCTTGATGACCACGAAATATGTATTGCGAGCAACGAACGAGAGGACGTACAAAAAGAGAACGATCGATATAACTGTCGTGTATCACACTTTTGTCTATTGCCTATCGTTGTATTCATAACATTCATCTTTTATACGTTTCAACCCGTATGCCATAGTTGTTAGACGAATACATTCTTACCTCTCCGGGCTCTCAGTTTCCTCTCTTTCGAGCAACTATCGACTTTCTACATCTCGTATTCAGAATATGACAATTTATTGGTCTAACAATGGATCGGCCATATCGACACGGATCCTAGTCGTCCCTTGCCGCGAAAGTCTAGAATCATTGGCTTCGTACATTTACCTTGTTTATCGCTAGAGCGGCTAAATCAGAAGACGAAAAGCTGAAGCACCTCATTGAATGCATTCCTCCCACCGTTTACGAGTATATTGCCGAGAGTAAAACGTGCCGATCCGATAGGATGACCCTAGAGAAGCTTGATATGAAACCCAAGAACGAGGTTTTTGCTCGACACACTCTGCCAGTAAACAGAAGGCAGGTCAGAGTCTTGAGCAGTTTATGCAGAAGCTGAAATCACTTGCAAGAGACAAACTTTATGGCCGTCGGCCGAGAAAAACCAAAACAACACCATACGAGATTCTTTTATCAGATAAATGCAGTCCAGAAGCATCCGCCAGCGCCTCTCGAAAAACCGGCCACTTGACCTAGAAACAGTATACCAACAGGCCAGAACCTTAGAGATGGCATATCAACAGTCCAACGTCTTCCACCCAGTCTTTTCCGTTTATAAAGAAGCAGTCGCTGACCCCAAGTCACAAAACGAGTCCACATCGAGCTTGGTGCCCTGCCAACCCAATCCACTGGAATACAGTATAGTCGCAACATTCGCTGTTTCTTCTGTGGATCTTCCGAACATCTTCGTCTCAAATATCTAGCTAAAAATGCAATCTACCAGTCTTGCAGAATAAAGGACATTTTCAGGTTTATCGATCCAAGCAAAACTCAAATTCATCATATGTTGCCAGCTCCCTGATATCCTCCAGCACTCGTTGCAGCTCCGTTATACCTGTCCAATGCAGTTATCCGGCTCTCTGTAAACGAGATATCTCTTCAGGCTCTCATTGACACTGGCAGTTCTGCTAGTTACATAGCTCTCGTACGAAGACAAGTGGAAGGTCAAAACATTTCGTAGTTCTGTATCCATGGCTTCTATGAACCTAACCAGTTTCACCCACGGACACTGCTTTGTTAATTTATTGCGTAGAAACCATCGTTATACAAGCATCAAGCTCATGGTGTTAGTTGACGTCTGATCGGACTTCGTCCTTGGACACGATTTCTTCCGACTACACTCAGTAACAGAAATTCCGTTCAGTGGAGCCAAAGATTCATTTTCTATCTGCAGAGTAGCGGCTGTGAATGGCGAGTCACCTCCGTTATTTGACAATCTTACACCTAATTGGGCTCCAATTGCAACCAAGTCTCAGCGACATTCACCCTCTGGCAAGCTGTTCATCAAAATGGAAATGAAAAGATTGCTGAGGGAGCTGAAGAACGCGTACCATCAGATACCATTAACAGACGCATTCGAAGCGCTTGGTGATTTGTATCAGTGCTGTCAGATTCCCTTCGGCATCACCAATGGTGTTTCTTCTGAAAGAGAAACTGGAAGCGACTTTCGCTTATTTAGATGATATCACAGTATGCGGTTCCTCTGGTCAAGAACATCGGAGAAACTTTGATCATTCCTACTAGGTTGCTCTTAAATACTCTACTCTTGATGACGCTAAAAACATCATAAACACAGACAAAATCAAGATATATCAAATATTTACTCACAATGATTGATGAATGTTCGCTATTTCCGTGTATCGATATGACAAACAATACTGTTATCAATCACCTCAGTCAATTATTTTCTGTATTTGCTATATCTTCTTACATACATACCGACCGTGGTTCCTCATTCATGTCAGATGAACTTAACCGTTTCCTTTATGCTAAAAGAATTGTAACGAGCCGAACCACTGCATACAACCCTCAAAGTAATGGACAGGTTGAACGGTTCAACGGTACATTTTGGCGCTCCATTACCCTAGTCGCCAAATCGAGATCTTTATCTTGTAGCGATTGAGAAATTCTGCTTCCTGATGTTTTACACTCTCTTCGTTCCCCCTTGTGTACTGCTACCAACTTCCTCTCATGAACGTCCCTTTAAGTGTAATCGACAATCAACATTCGGCAAATTACTGCTAAGTTGGCTGACTGTTCGTGGACCGGTTTTACTGAAACGCCTCCCACGAGTATCAAAGTACGAGCCACTGGTTGACGGGATAGAGCTGATTGAGTGTAGTCCAAGGTATGCCCACGTTAGACTTCCAAACGACAGAGAAGAAACGGTATCCATTTATCATATAACCCCTCGACCATCACCGTGTCCACCGACAGTCCCCGAACTTCCGTTCGTCGAACCTATATCAAATGATGCCCCTATTGACAGTACACAAGTAATCTACAGATGAGTTCGTTTCACCTCATATTGCAAACTCTTCAGCCCGCGAATAGCCAACAACCTTCACTTTATAATTACAACAACGAACTCGCCCTTATAACCCAAGAAGCAAAGAGGTTTGATAACATTTTCTTTACCGGTGGAGTATGTCATGTATCGCATCATTGTCTATTGCATATCGCTATATTCATAAAATTTTTATACGTTTCAGCCTGTGCCAGAGTTAGACGAATACAATCTTACATCTCCGGGCTCTCAGTCTTCTCTCTCTCGAGCAACTTCCGACTGTTGTCATCTCCTCGTGTTCAGAATGTAACAATAACGAAACCTCAAAGACGGTTGTGTTGATATGATATGTAGAATAGAGAGAGAGAAGCGTCAAGAAAGTGAAAGTCAACATGCTGTGACCAGCTTGGTGATCCTGGTCTGGTAAAACAACGAGGTCCGAATATTAGAAAGGTACATCTGCGGAGATGACTGAGGCTATCACTACATTGTATAGGCAAAGTGGTTCGCCTGTATCTCTGCAACTCTGCAGACTACTAACTTCAATTTCCGTTGGATGCTAATTTAATTGTGAGGTCAAATGAGCAGTGTCGGATAAAAAAATCTGTGAATTGTATTTTATATAGTCTCTCCTTTTCTGTTCTTAGTTGTTAAAATTTTCCCTCAGTTTCTGTCCATGCTGCCTCTTTGAATTTCAAAACTTGTTTGTAAGTCATACACCCATCCTTTATTTCTCTACAACCGAGCAGCTAATGCATGTATACACAATGATAACACTTATGCAATTCCTTTGCGTTTCATTGTGCCAAACGGGAATGTCTCTTTCATTTCCATATCAAAATCTGTGAATTTTCGTTTCTACCTAATTACTTACCTCTCTTTTCAGAAAAATTGCTGAGGAGGCCCTTGATGATATGATCTCATGGCTAGCCACCGATCAAGGTGACATTGGTGTTTTCGATGCGACGAACACTACGCGTGAGCGTCGCCTGTGGATAATGGAGAAGTGTAAGGCCCGACATTTGGATGTTCTTTTTGTCGAGTCCATTTGCAACGACCCGAAAGTTATCGAAGAAAATGTCCTGGTAAGTCCTTTGGTTTTCTTATGTCACATAAGTATACCATAGGTTCAACACTAGGAGATAGTTATCCTACTGTATTTTAAATTGAATTTCAAAAGAATCAATTAAGTTTGCTACATTTGACTTTGGCCATTGTTAGCTTTGCTGTTATTTAGCTGGATATGTCCAGTATGATATACCACACTTCCCAGTAGAGCTTGATGGGGTTTGCTATTCCAAGTTTTCGATTATCACGAACAACGAGTGAGCCCTCGTGTTTTTAAGGTTTTCTATTCTGTTGTTCATCATAGAAAGGTGTTTTAAAGTAATTACACTTTAAACCACTAACTGGATATTTCAATCAAACTCCAGTCAGAGGAGTTCTGCATGCTGTGTATGAATTGTTTTCGCGATGAACAGCTTACATAGAGGTAGCCTTAGTTCAAAATCAATATGGGAGATGATGGAAAACCAATAGAACAATGATCGATGGAGTCTACAATTTACACAGTAACATCAAAATGAAATTAAATCCATACTGCCGATTTGCCTCCACTTTTCAACATCACGTTTCTTGAGAATTGTGCATTATCTGACGCTTCAGGGACAGCAAACGTATCACCTTATTTTATTATTGTACCAAGACCTAAAACGGTGTTTTATGTTTGAACCGTGAATTAGTGTTTCATTCATTGATGTCTATGACTGATAAATCCAGCTTTTAAATTTCCTCTACTATTATAAACCTACTTCATATTTTCACAGACGTTTTTCATGAGATTCATTTTTCATGTGTGATTCACTAATTGCTCATCAATCCGATGATAATTCTGAAGAGGGAGTAACCATTTCCATTCCAATAAGGGTGACAAATTCATCCTATGTAGTTGACACTTTGACATGCAGACTGTAGTATTTTCTGTGTAGACCACCCCCAGCAGAAAGGATAAGTTTCAGTGTCTTCACTGTATATTATATATATATATATATATATATTAAATTTCACGCTTGTCTGAGGACAGACTGTGTGCCAGGCAAATCATGGTACAGTAATCTTTAGAAAAAGAAAAAACGTTCCATGATTGGCTTGTGGGCTGGATATTGCCAGGTTGCCTAGGCCAAGGCAGGTGAATTTTCTTGAGGAATTCACAACCAGAGCCTTCGGCTAGCCAAAGCCTGAGCCACAAGGCAGCGGGGCGGTGTGTGTGTGAAAACCGCAGCCCATTGGGAGCCGATGTCCAGTTCATCGGATCATTCACCTTTCGGACGAGGTCAAACGTCCAAGGTGCCCAATACACCTTAATGCTCAATCATGTCGGTGACCCTTGCCACAACCGAAAAGGTGTGGATGTGGTTCGTACGCCTCCTCATGGTTGGTTTGGAATCAGGGTTCTTGGCCAACTTCCCTAGGCGAACTGACAATGGTCCACCAATCCGGTTATAGCCCCGGATGTCGGGTTTTCGTTCTCTCATTTTGGTGGCAAAATAACTCCGCCACTAGAAGGCAGTGAGTAGGGCTTCCTCACCAGAGGTTATTCGATACGCTTGGTCGTATGAGAGCATTTCGCATCTATTTCTATCAGAGACTGCGCATTTTTGGCGATCTATCCGAGGATAGCAAAACGCGCAAAATATTTTTTCTTTCTGCTTGCGCCTTCACAATTTTCTATTTTATCATTTGTGTTGTAGTACAAACAGTTTCAGTTCGTTCGACCGGTAAATATACACTTTCGTGCGGCGGTTGTGGCTGCTGTCTTTGGGCCGCCTGTTTGTATGAAGCAGGAGAAGAAAGATAAGTAAGTTTTTCAACTTGCTTATCTTTCTTCTCAGAAAATAGAAAATTCCAGAAGATCAAGGTTGCAAAGAAATTGTGGAGATGCACGAGTGCCACCGTTTACGACACTCAATGTCCCTAATCATTGATTACAACGATCCCGAGGTCCCCATCCATGGGGCCTTACATGATCTGTATGACAGAATTTACTGGTTAGGGTTTTCTTACCAGGTGTTAGTTTGACCATATTTGGCTTTTTCCGTCCACTGCCTGCCTCGACAAACATCGCGCGCCGTGGCAAAGTATTTGGTGATGTGCGCAACACATGTGCCAGCCAGCGTAACCTATGGAGGGCGACCACTTCCTCTAGTGGTTGACTGCGGTTACCTAAAACTCCGCGCCTAACTTCGGCATTGCTCGTCCGGTTACCCCACCAGATTCATGCAATGCTGCGTATAAGACAGCCATGTTCGAATACCGACCGTCTATCTTTGTCCTGCTTTCGTAATAGCGAATTTTCTACGCCGTATAGTAGAACCGGCCAAACTGCTGCAGCGTACACTTCATCCTTCATGGACAAAAGAATATTGCGATGGCGCCACAGATGTCTTTGGTTGACAAATGCCAATCAAGGCTTCCATATGCGAGCCGACACTTCATGCACCTTGCGTCCACCGGGTGAGAAATAGCTGGCCAAATAACAAAATTTGTCCATCGGCTCTATTACCTCCACGGTTAGAGGCTGGAAACTGGACCACTGTGATCTTGCTGCAATATTTTACGCTTCAAAGGAGCAAAATACATTCATAATAAAGTTAAGTAAACAAGGATAGAAAGAGTAACCTTAAGGAACACCAATTTCCCTGGTTAACTAAGTTAGAAAGGGGCCGTAAGCTCGGACTCGGTTTCGGCTATTAATGCAAAGAGATTGTAATATTGAAGTAAACCTCTCGGTCACACCCTCTAGGGAACGGTAGCGCCAGAGGTTAGAGCGGTCGACTGAATGAAGAACCGCTTTCAGATCAAGGAAGATAGAAATGGTGGGTCTACGAAAGAAACGTCCGTGTTCCAGAATTTGGCGAAATTATGGTTTATACAACCTCGACCAGGTTTAAAACCAGCCTGCGCGTGCAGGCAATCGACGGAGTCTGATATCAACGAGGAGTTCAGAGGCAATGTTAATTAAACTAATTGCTCTTGTTTTCCCAAGAGGGTCTACTATTTTGCAAGATGACTAATTCACACAAGTCATATGGACTGCCAAGAAGCTTTTCTAATTCGTCCAGGAATCCCACTTGAGCACTGAAGCTTCCAGAGACTATTACGACTTCCACTGATCGAACAGTTTTGAGTAACTGAGGAAGATCCTCGTAGAATCTATCCTTGATTTCAGGTATACTGCAATCATTCGGTGCATACAAGGGCACGATGAAGAAGCATCAACGCGTCACTTTGCAGCTGTTGATCCGTTCGGAATCGTTAAGACGTACCGAGCACAGTCGGCTACTGACTGGAATCCAGCCAAGAAGCGAACGCTCAACCTTGGCACTTAGCGCAATCCCCACACTAGCAACACCGCGTGCGTCGGACATCAAATTTCCTGACGGGCGAAGAGATTGGGTGAGAAGAACGTAGGATGATGATTGAAGTAGAGTTTTGTGTACATGTTTCGGAGACACAACATACGTCTAGATTAAAAGTTTCGCGGGGTTCTTGCTAAGGCAGTTTGTCGACTGGTCTGGTAGTGTGCGAACGTTGGACGTGGCTAAATGAAAAGAAGATATTAGCTTCAACAACGCTATAACTTCTGGTTGTTTTGCCTTTGTGAGTGGCATAAACAGGAGGCATTTGGAATGATTCGGGATTGAGAGGGAGAACTAGACAGGCTGGTAAGAGGTTTTCGCAAATGTGTGCCTGAGACTTTGTTAGGAGCCACAACTCTCTTATCTTTGTGATTTTTGTTTCAGTTGGTTTTTTCAGTTGTAAGTGATTCAACTACCAGCTTAGAAAGTAGTTTACGGCCAAGTACTGTATAATTTTAATTGCCGTGATTTAATTTAAGAGTTAGTTTTCAATTTGCAGGAAGTCAAAGTCAACAGCCCAGATTACGTAGGGATGGACAAGGACGAAGCACTGATGGACTTCATGAAGCGCATGCAGCACTACGGAGCGCAATATGTACCGATTGATGACGATCTGGATAAAGATTGGTCTTACATTAAGATATTCAACCAGGGTCAACGTTATTTGGCTAATCACATTGAAGGTACTTCATTGTTCTAGTTTTTTGAAACCACTTGTTTCCGATTGATATATTTGCTTATTCGAAATACGATTTTTCCATTTACCGTTTTCACTTGTGATGATAACAAATTTATAGAATCTTCAAATTTCACTGTGATTTTCTTTCACAGTTGCTTCACATATGTAACATTTTAAATTCCTATCTTTATATCAGGGTCATCACTAGTTATTCTGAAATAGCCTTTTAAGGGACTGAGTGAATTTTCATATTTTATTTATGATTGAACTCTATAAATTAATCAATGGGATCAAAAAATAAGTATAGGAACCATGCATCTTCACTCGCTCTTTGAGTTTAGTGACCGGTACTTGATGCATTAACCGGTTAACAGATTTCGAGTGTGATCTTATGAATACGCTTCTGGTCATTGTTATCGATCTCGAAAAGGGGATATATACATAAAACCAAAGTTTACAGATACGACGCCAAATTGATCATGGGTTGGAGGATAGTTTTATCTTTACAGTGAGCTACTTAGGAGTTGTAAGAAGCGTCAACCAGGGACGTTTTTCATTCTTTATTGTTTCCGTTCTGTTTTTTCACTATATGATAAAACGTTTTTGATTTTTGTCCCTTTATTTTATCTCTGGTTTAGATTGATCAATGACATTTAACTTTAAGTCCGGGTATGGTGAAAAACATTGTGCACGGTTACCCGTAGCGGTTTTATATTTTGTCTGAAAGTGCTTTTATGCTCCTGGAAACACCTTTTTGCGTCTCCTTAGAAGACTATTGTTATGATGATATCGATTGAGTGCTTTCGATTCAAGTGGTTTCATACAGTTATGCGGTTAAGACTGCATAGGCGATTGGATAAAGATAAACTTGTCAAAGTTCCAAAACTTGAGCATGTAGTTCGCAATCAAATCAAGCGTTTTAAGTTACTCTCATCGTCTTGCTTTTCTCCTGTTCTGCTCATACAAATGTTAACTTCGCACGTTTTTCTGGGGTTTCTGGTTTTTTATTACACACATTTGTGTGATGCACAGCAGACGAAGTGGAAGAACAAAGTCGTGAAGGCCTGCTTTTCAGTAATAGAAACCAGCAACATAAGCTCCGGGACTTGGAGTGGTGGATCACACAGAGCCCCGCTAGGCGTGTTTTTGAACTGGACGACAGCATAGCTGCTTACCGTCGTTTGGATACACATTCGAATAAAAGACTGAGAAAATATCGTGAAGATGGATCCAGCCCCAGCGGATAGATGCGAAATATAATTTAACTAAACCCACCAAGGAAGTGAGTGAATGTATGGGCGTCCTTGTTCATGATGCAACCATACTCCAACCGGCAGTTAGACTGATCCCCACGTCTCCAGCGGAGGAGTTTAACGCGACCTTTGTTTACGTCGCCTGGTCATTTTTTCATGCGCTTATGTTTGACCTTCTTCCGCTGATTACCTGCTGCAGGAAACATTGCGCACCGAGAAAGCCTATCTGGTGAGATGCCTTATAAATGTCCCAGACCTAGATTTCCAGTAGTCAAGCCCCACTGAGCATCCTAGCCTAGCCTCGTTACTGCAGGCTCGGTTGCCCTACTAGTGATCAAACACTGGTAGTCAGTATTTGTCTTAATCTCTAAAGGACCATATCTTTACACCATAAAATAGAACTAACCGGACAGCTGTAGTGCACAATTTTGACTTCACGGACGATGAAATATCGTGACCGCACCATAGATATCTTGAGTTGACAAACGTTAGTCGAGCCTCCTCTATTTATTCCGACACGTCATTCGTGATTTGTCCGCCAGGTGAGATGAAGGTGCTCAAATAGTGAACGTTTTCTACTTTATCGATTGCTTTCCCTGTTAGACTGAATTTGGAGCTTAACTTACCCAATCATTGAAGGTTATCTTGCACTTTTGAGGTGCAAAACACGCCTAACAATTAAGACGTCAAGGAAAGCCGAATGTTTACTCGACTGTATTTTTTTTGCGTACTCGCACGGGAACATGATATATACTGAAACGTTGAAAAGAAAAGAAGAGAGAAGGCAATCCTGACAAAATGATTACCGTGGGAAAAGTTCGAATGCAGCTTCATCTGTTTGTACAGGAGGACTGTGGCGGAGGAAAGGAATTCGCGAGCGCACCAAAAAAGAGTACCGCGAAGTCGCAGGCCGCCTTTAGATCAAGGAAGGTAGCAGTGGTGTATCTTTAGGCGCTAAGGTATGTGATTCGCACCCTACCGTTGCTCCTCAACTATGGTGATCATCCGGTTCAGTACCTCACCTGGGCTAGTAAGGTCTGAAGTGGTTGACCATTTCATTTCCCGGTACTTGGTTTGCCGCATTTTGTGAATGAACAGAGTCTTGGTGACTACTATTCACATTATGTGGTGTTTTTTCCGTGTTTTAATATTTTTGGATTATGATGCATCAACTTGTGACTGAGCAAAATTTCCCCGAAAGGACAACGGATTTCGGGATGATTGCCATTCATTTGTATGTGTATTTGGTAATTTCTCACATGTTATGTTTCGGTAATGCCGTTCAACCGAGTTTCTTTTGGTTAGTAGCATTAAAATTTCAAAACTCGCATTAGATCACAGCATTAATTCACACACGAACTGCTTTAGAACAGTATCCGCAAAAGCTGTATCAAGGGTTGCAGATTGTGTAAATAGCGAAATAAAGGGTTATCAGGTGCGCATTACTGATGATTGGCAATCGCCACGAAACCGGTCGTGTGCTTACAAGGAAATTTTGTCCAATGACTTTATTAATAATTATTAAGAATAATAATATTTAATATTCAATGATAGTAATATTTAATACACATATGGTGGCGGTGGGTATGCGGTTAAGAGACTTCCAACAGCGACACGGCGATCTCAATTAAGAATTCGTCCACTGCCACCCATTTTCCTCGTCTATTATATTCCTTTATCCAGCTTTGAGTTAGATAATAATTTATTTTACAGTAGTATATTCAATATATGTGTAACCGCCTACTCTAAACTAAAAATGTGCCAACACCGGCGAAACGGAGATATGCACACTATAAAGGAGAAATAATGAAATGATGGAAACTTTATATTTCCTTACTGTAGTGTCTCATTTTTATTGTCGGTCTGCGTGTTTATTTTCAATGGAGGCCATAATTGTCAGATCACAGGTATTCACAGAAGAATCACTCAACAGTGAAACTACTTTTTTATTCAGGTGTTTTTACGTGAATAAAAGTATACACTTGAGTACTTAGCTAATTTACATAACATTTCAGTTATTTTTGTGTAGATCACAATGTCAGGCCTTAAGTGTTTGCCCTATTTATGCCTATTGTATACCAGGAAACGTCAACAGTCGAATTGCATACTATTTGATGAATATTCGGGTAAAGAAACGAACTATCTATTTAACTCGGGTAAGTATATTTCAGTACCTATGTGTGATCTGCATGCAAGGTGACCAATTAAAAGCCCTTCAGTGTGTTTTATAACCGATAGGTTTTACATTTCCTAATATGGCAAACTCATTTGTTAACCGCAACATTTGGGTTAAGCACAAGAGTCTATCGTCATGATGGATAAAAAAATATCAGTCGGCCGCAGCTCATTGCGTGTAGACATTTCGTTCGTTTGATTTTGTGGTTGATAGGTTTGAACTGTCAACAGCATTTAACCACTGATGTGCCAGTATCTACCGTTTTACACTGCTGCTGATGGACAAGGTCATTATGCTAACAGCACATGTATTTACGCATTCTAGGGACCCGGTACGTTTCAAATCAGCTTCGCTGGTTGCCAAAGCCAGCCATTCAAACCCGGTTTGACTAGGCACATTTTCATTCTGAGATGAAAAGAACGTAACACCACGCATTGCAAATTGCTCTTATCTAAAACGAAGGTTAATATAAAAAACTACTTCATCTCGAGTGTAGATATTCATATGCCTGTTATTATTCCTTTAGCTTTTTTACCGTCAGCATGATTATGCCAAATAACAAACAGTGGGTTCCGCTGATAGTCTCGCATTTGATTTACACAAAGGAAGTATTCTAGATAGCTTTACCGAACTCTCTGAGATGGATATACTATGATGACTAAGTACAAAAACTATCGCACTAGCATTCATGACACAATGAGCGCAAAATACGAGATGGTGACATCTAAATAATCTCTGGTTATCATTGAACAGCGATGATTCACAATTGAACGATCACACCCACTATAGGTAAATTTATTTTCCGATTTCACAACTGGCAATGCTGGTGGATGAACTTTATGCCCGTCTAATGTGGTTGATGTACCTAGATGTTGGGTTCAGTGGCGCTCGTGCATAAACTCGCTTTTCATACATATCCATTTTGCTCGCTCTGTGTATCTTGGTATGGATGTCACATTTTCCCTTTTTTCATTGGTCGATTAAATGGGTGGCTGCGAAACACCAATTAAAACCACACAGAATTAAAAAGTTAATGGTTGTACAGTTTGAAAACTGAAATCAATGTCCAATGGAAGCAAACGTCCTACGACTACAGAATAGGTGACACAATCTGACATCATCAGTATCCGTCTTTTGTGACCATACTTTCGGATGAACTATGTTGTTTCGTGCTAGTTCGGCCAAGGCCAGGCAGAACGAATATCACGTCGTGTTTGACTTGGACGGGAGAATCAAATCCATTTCTACTAACGATTGATATCCGCTCATTTACACAGTGTTTGAACAAGGCATGATTCTAGTAATTTGAGAAAACACCAATGAACGATGCTGGTTCTCTCCACATTTGTCAAGCGGTTGAGGATACTAAATTATCCCCCCGGAGTTCGTTTATTCCAACCCCCCCACCACCAGTTTCAGTTTGGACACCCGTTTACCGTTCACTTTCGTGCTGCGGTTTTGGTTGCTCTCTTCAGGCTGTCTATTTAGATAAAAGAGCACCACCACCTATCTTCCCTCATTTGTATTTCATTTTCCACTTACACGATATAGCACAACCCATCTTTGAGAGTTTGTTGCGGGCCACGGACCCTGCTCAACTCAGCATGAAAAACGGTCTGATCAGCTGCCCGGTGGCGTAGTGGGTAGCATGCTTGCGTTCTGCCCATGAAGTCCCGGGTTCGATCCCCAGNCTTCCGAGCTTTTCAGTTCACGCTTCATTTGCTATATACACGACGAATTGTCATTTGAAATTTAACCAAATCCTCCATTACCCACATGAAAAAAATTGGTACCTTGGCGGCTACATCTCTACTGGAGGCCGAAGCTAGGATTAGTTGTTGGCATTCTTACAGAAAGCTTGAGTGGCATTTGTCAGCTTGAAAAACCTCTGATCAGGTTACGATAGCCTGTTTGTAGAGTATTGTGGGTGCTGCAGGAGTTCGGTCGTTGCTGCTATATGGTTTGCCGTTACGGTAGGAGGACAAACAGCGCTGCCTGTGTCGCGTTGCTCTAGTTGAGCAACCGAACGAGCAATGTTGAGGTTAGACCCAGAAAGTCAGACAATCGTGAGTGACTATTGGAGCAAGTTCTCGACCTCGATAAATTATGTCATTATATTTTGCACGTGTTTGACTTCAGACTGTATGCCAAACAAATCACGGTATAAAAACCTTTAGGCTAGAAAAATGACTCCATGATTTACTCATTTTCAGGTTGCTTATACTAAAGCAGGTGAATTTTCTCGGAAATTCACAACGGAAGCTATCGGCAAGCCTAAACCTGATCCGGAACGAAACGCGCACGCGTGTTTGTGTGCGTGTGTAAAAAACGGTAGTTTTTTCGGGTGTCCAAGGTATCTAATCGAGTCAATGATCAGTGTCACAACCAGTAAAGTATAGTTGTGATTCGCGTGTATCTTCTTGGTTAGCTTGGAGTCAGGATTTTTAGCCAACTCACCTATGAGAACTGCCCATGGTTTTCGTCCTTTTCGTCCTTTCACTTTGGCGGAGAAATGCTTCTGCCACGGATAGGCAGCAAAGACTTTGAAACGCATGGTCGTATAGGGGTAGTTTGTAAGGCGAATGGAAAGGTTGATCAGTCACAACCAAAGGCACCTAGTTCTGACCGTAATGGTCATCAATATCATCAAATGGAATACCTCGGCATGCATTGTTTTCCAAAATAGGTAGTTTTCGGAAGAAGGTTAAAGATGTTCAAACTAAACCTTAGCACCAGGG